AGTCGTGTGCTCTCCGTGGGTTGGAAACCTTTCCTGCGTATCCGTTGTAACCATTTTTGTCTCACGGCCTTATCCTTGGGAATCCGAAAGAATTGGATGTTTCGTTGCCTATTTCTTCTGTTTGAACAATTTGGGGCGCAGCAAAAGTCGCTTTTACCCATTTGGGAAAAAAACAGTTGCAACAACGACACATGCGACGGTCGACAGGTGTAAACAAATTAACCGCGCGTTTGCAACTTGCCCCCCAACACGAAAAGGATTATGGGACATGTGGAAATGGCGAATGTGACTGAGGACGGCAGTTATTTTTCAGGTAGCGCCACTTGTCCTTTTTTCGTGCAAAAGTGGAACGCTGGCTGCGTATCTTTTCGAATTACTCACAGTTCGGTTCAACAAATATCATCTGCTGTTTTCAAACTGTAATAGTTTGCTTGTCAGGGTTTAAATAAAGAAGGGAAATGTATCGCTTCTCCTCAGCGGTTTGTTTAATTCTTGCTGTAATTGGGTCTGTAAGAGAGACCAAAAAAGGCCAGAGTTAGTGGCTTTAATACTCCGCAAATTGTAAATTTGTGATAAAAGAAACCAGAAAAGTGCCCAAATATTGCTGCAGACTCCGTAGCACCTAAGGTGCAAATTAATTGTTACCGAATACCTTCAGGGGTATCTTGCGTGCAAGCGATGTAGCGCGTGCAGTTTTAGCAGTAGATACCTAAACCCCAAATTAAATTAAAGCTTATAGAGCTGGCTATCAAACTATACCAGGGATTTTGAAATAAAATGGATTGTCGAATTTTTCACGACCACTAAATGCGAGCGCCCGAATCACCGTTTCGAAAGCTGCAAGTCAAAGCGAATTTGGTTTTTCGCCAATTTGATTTTTTCCTCGGTTTCAGGGCCCAAAGCGCTAAAAAAGCGTGTCTGTGTTTGCCATAATTAATTGCAGTAAAAAGTTACAGTACATTTTCGAAATAGGATTAAAAAATGTCGAGTGATCGTACAAAAATCGCTCTCGAAGAAAAATATTTCGAAATAAACAATTCGCAGACATGCTTTTCTAGTTTATATGTTAAACTAGCTACTGTCCAAATTTGAGGGGAATTGAACATATTCCCTTTGAGTTATTACTCTTTGAAGTGTCTGCTTCGAAAAAATGTATTCGAGAAAACAGCGCTAGGAAAAATCTTCTGCTTCGCAAACAAACTCCGCCCACAAACGCCTTCAACTGGGTTCTCAGATAACTGAGCCAATCAGTGCAGGGAAAGTTTACTACCGTTAACCTCCTGGTGAAATTTACGCGCGAATCTCCAAAAAGCCTTTGTGTTTCGCTATGCGCTACAGGCGGAGAGATAATTTTTCTGTAGCTCGGTTTTTCTTAAAGCTGGTCACTCTGGCAAAGTGGGGAAGACGAAACAGGATACGAACGCTAGAGTAACTGGGCGAAGAAAACAAATAAAAGAAAGTGCGGCGGGGCAACTGTGCGTGGGCAGTTGTGCATGGATAATATTTCAATGGGTCTCAATGAGTCCAATGATTCGTCGATATCGGATTCATCGGAATCTCTGTTATTGCTGTCAAGTTCCCAAATTTTTACAGAACCTCTCTTTTCTCTTACCTCGATTTTTTTGACCGCCTTATACGATAGCTATAGAGATATTAAACATGACGTTACGTCAAACGGCAAACGGCAAAAATAAAACTTTTGCCGTCTGTCTTAAGCTGTCTGAACAGTAGAGTGAAAATTTTTTCTACTTGCGGTGAATAGTAGGATACATTTTTCTATTTTTGTGTGATTTATTTAAGGATTAAAGGAAAAGAATGAAAAATCAGAGGTAATCTTTGCTGTTTGCCGTCTGCCGTAAACGTCATGCTTAAACTGTCTTACAGCTTCATCCGCGAGGCGAACTTTCGCTTCTTCACTCATTGATGTATTTTCTTTCGTTCTTCGCTGTTTTCGATTTTTTAAACTGGTCCATGTTTTTAACGTTGTCTATGTTTACTTATAACTTAATAGAATTACACCTAATACCAAAAATGCTTGGTAATCAGAACAACAGTGCTGCTCAACTGAGTAGTCAATTCGAGACATCCGTACTGGTAATTCCCGCGAAAATCATCTCGGTTGATTGCATACGCGCCATAGGGCAAGAGGTAAGCTTTACTTCCGGCGAAAACGTAAAACCGCCATTTCTCCGCCAATATTTAGTCTTTTCAATTTTTTTTTTCAGAAAGTAGAGATTATTCTTCGACCACTGCTTTGACCGAAAAATCCAAATTCGAAGAAAATTGCCGACCTGAAGGTATACTGTAACCTCAATCAGTCCTTGAGGGGACTCGTTCACCGATGCAGGATAATATCGGCAAAGTAGCGCTGTCTGTCTCACATACTTCTCGTTGAAACGCTTCTCAGTTGTACAGTGTTTCAGCTAGAAAATTTTACTTGAGGGCCCAGGTAACCCCTGAAGACCTTTTATAGGGGCTAATTTTTTTTAGGAAAGAGCCAACAAATTGAAAGCTACAGAAGAAAAAATGCATCAAGGTACCAAAGAATATAAAGTAGTTTATTAGGATCTGTGACAAAATTTAATAGTAAGTGCTTTTTGAAGTGTTTCTACTCATTAAAGTTTCTTTTAAATCAGATACCGGTATGAAGGATCCGTACATTACAAGAGAAAAATCCATAGGCATACATGACGTGGTCAATGATCAAGGGTCTGCAATGTAAAATAGGGCGATTTCAAACACGGTCAACCGTTAGGAAGTTTTGCGATGTGAGAGAATCAATACACCTTATTCCAAAATGGCCGCCATTTAAGTATTCTTTTGTTTACTTTCAAATTAGCCCTTGTTGCCTCGTTCCTAAACTCGAAATTCAAAAGAATATTTTCCCTTAAACGAGGCAACAAGGGCTCATTTTCAAATAAACAAAAGAATACTGAAATGACGGCCATTTTGGAATAAGGTGTATACGGCAAAGCAAAAGAATGGATTGACTTCTTTTCTTATTGATCGTCAACACAAAGACATGCAGTCGCCATTATGGCGACTAAACCAGANTGGAAGTTTTCCGATGTAAGGGAATCAATAAAGCAAAGCAAAAGAACGGATTGACTTCTTTTCTTATTGATCGTCAACACAAAGACATGCAGTCGCCATTATGGCGACTAAACCAGAATTTTTGGTCGCCAAGGATGAAATGTTAGTTGCATCGGCGACCGTATCGGTGTCAATTTCGAGCCCTGCGGACGGCTTTTAGAATACTACGTCTGTCTTTTAAAAGGGGCGACGACGCACCGTTTACAAGGGTCTTCATGATTCGCCAAACGAAACAATAGGTGTACAACACAAACAATGCCCCTGGCCCTAAAAACAAAAGAGATGCAGATTAACAAGAACGAATCAAAATAGAAGTTTTAAAGAGGTGCAGGTCAACTGTGTAAAAGGAAAGGGCCAAATAAGCCCTTTCTTTTTTTTCTGGGGGCCTTCTCTGATTGCAACGCGGGATTCTCGCGATGGCGCGCTCTGGCAAAAACACTGCTGTATCAGTCAATATCGATGTGTATCAATTTTGAATTGTTTTATTGTTAACAAAAAATGTGGCAACAGAAAAAGAAAGTGGTATTCCGTGACTATCTGATAATTAAATTAGTTCATGTTCATCGGTGATAAGAAAATTTGTGTTTTGAGAAAAATAAAATCGTTTCTCTTCCATATCTTCGTCAGATATTTAACTTTCTTTCATTTATCTCCAAAAAAACGAGCACATCTTCCATGAAAACAACGGTTTCATGTTACATACCTTTGCGAGGAAAACAAAAGTATCAAGTTACAAAGTTAGCGCGAAGAGCTAAATTGTCTGTTTGTTCAATGTATTATTGCATTTAAACTGAACGAAAATACAAGAGTAAAATTTAAAAAGCTGTCGTGATAAACAGTAATTGTACGTGATTTTTGGCTGGTGGTTCAAGAATATGAGTCGGATGACCTCGCCTCAAACTCCGAAGACGAAAAACGCCTCAGGAAGGAGAAGAATGCTGCGGACAAAAAGAGGAAGGATTCCGACAAGTTTAAGCCGGGCTCTTCTAAGCGCTTTAAGTCTGATAGTGATAATCAGCTTTTTCGTGGTAATATATTTTCTTTTCTCTGTTTTACTTTGTTATTTCTCATGAGGTTGGAATGCCTGAGAATCCAACTATCAAACAGAGTCGTTTGTCTTGAGTGTATTGCATTTAAGAGAAAAATGATTGAGGTTAGTTTGAGCGGAGCGAATTAGAACGCAAATGTATTTTCCGCTGGTATGTAAGCAATTCTTTGCAGGAGTATCTGTGGCACCTTTTGACTGGCTATTGGATACCATATATGACATATATTCATTAGCACGAGGTGCTTCTTTCTCTCTCTCGCGTTCTAGTTTCCGACGTGTTTGCCGTTCGTTTTCCCGCCCTCCCACCCTTTTTTAAACATTTGTTTATCTCAGATGAATTTGCATTTTTTTCTTTGTAGGCCGTGCAGACTTTAGTACAAGCCGTTCCTCCACCAGGTGTTTCAGGTGTTACCGTTTCGGGCATTGGGCGAAAGATTGCCGAGCCACATGGCGGTTTACCATCCACAAACCGCAGCGGTGCCAACTTTAGTGGATTCACAGGAGGAGTCGCCGATAGATCAGCAGCTAAGTGATGATTTTACAGATTGTCCTATCGCTGGAGAAATCTTAGAGGTACCCTCTTATGAGTTTGATCCAAGTTTATCGGGCTCTATCCAGGTTAAAGAGAAGACATTCAATTTAGGTATGATATCGGCGCCCCGAGTTTTATTTTGTCTGTTATCAGAGAGGGTTACAAGATTCCTTTTGAACATAATCCTCCTGGGATTTTTCTCAAGAACAGAGGTCTTCATT